ATATGTATGTTTAGATGTATATATTGATACATAGAGATACACATGCCTATGTGTTCATACATACTGACAAACATACATACATACATACATGCACATCAGTACCCATACACACATATTTATATATATATATATGTATGATATGCATATGCTTATATCTCTATGCACACATACATGAACGCACACACACACACACACGCACACATGCACATATCAACACATCTCTAGGCATACATGCACGGCATGCATACCTTCCATGCAATGCATTCTATGTAGCCTCAAAGAATGCATTGGATCATGCACGGCAACAACTGATTCATTGAAGACTTCCTTCAATGAATCAGTTTGACATGGAAACAACTGATGCAGTCAGTTGTTTGACTGCATGAGCATGTTGGCTGGTAGGTTTGACTGCATCCTTGTCCTGCTTCATCTGTTGGGCTTTCCTGGGCTTAGGGGCTTGGATCCTGTGTGCATTTGAGGCCGTAAACTGTTCTTTCTCCGCATAATACCTGTTGCTTCTTAATGGTTCTTGATATGTCATCTCGGCTGGCAACTTCAATGTCTTCCTATCCTACAAGCATCGAAATATTGTGGGACTACAGCTCTTTACGTGTTTGTTTAGAGTTATGTATTCATGTGTGTATGCACAACCACTCGCGATCCTTAGGGGCGGTCAAGACTAACAGGATTCAAAGGATTGTGGAACAATGACCCCCATGCAGGTGTTCCTCTTCAGTGTACGTATGCAATGGAATGTGCATATATTTCTTTTCGGCTGATGCCTCTGTTTCTACATGCCAAAAAAACATGTGTGTCCTGCAAGTAATGAGCAGTATATGGTACTTTTAGATCGGGTAATAATTAATACAAACCGATTTCCTATATGTGTCGATCGATCGAATCGCATCAATCTCTTCCACCCATCGATTGTACGGGTTCCGTACGGGTTTTGTACGGGTGATGTCTGGGTTCGTACGGGTTTTGTACGGGTTGTGTACGGGTTCCGTACGGGTGTTGTACGGGTGTTGTACGGGTGTCGTCGGCTGATGTTTGATATTTGCTGCTCTGTGGTATCTTCAACACACTGAGCTTCCTCTGGCAGACATACTATCTATGTATATATACATATATATAGATGTATCATTTTGTACTAACTCAACAAACAAGGCTAAGGGTCTCCATTGTCGCTACATGTGCATATATACATATATAACAATAAGGCACAATCTTCTGCATTGCCACCCAAAAATCACATGGCCACATGTGTGACCACTTGAACACATCATATTGCAATGGCTTCTCTGAAATCACGATGTAGCTATGGTTGCTGTTATCATGTGTCAGCATTGCTTGGTCGTTGGCACACAAAGGCATTTGGGTTCATCCAGGCTTGGCATACCTGCTTCATAATTTACCGACGAAAATGCTCCAATGACATAACATTTTCTTGGTCCTCGGTAACAGATTCAATTTTGCATGACCAAATTTGTAACACCGTGAACAATCACCTAGAACAATTCTTAAACATACATCACAAACTTGTTTATGTCGTGATGATGATAACAAAACTTCGTCATTGTCCTAAAAAAAACGACCCGTACAACACCCATACAAAAACCATACGAACCCGTACGACGCTTATGTAAAAACAACACAGCACCCGTACGAAGTCCGTACGCCCGACATCTTAGCTTTTACATACACACTTGTACGGATCCTTGTCAAGATATGTTCATCTTCCTTGAAGCTTTTTCCCAACCTCAGTGGGGGGACTGCCATGTCCACTTTGGACTCCCAGGGGCGGGGGGCTTGATTTTCAAGTGTGTGTGTCCGCACATAGCACATTGTGTGTGTGGGTGGAGCAAAAATTTGTACATGTGCAAAGGTCCTGCAGCACTTTAATGGCGGGCCTCGACGCCTTGGATCGAGATCTGGATTCCCAGGCTTTTTTTTTTTGTTGTGTTGCCTCGCCTCTGTTTGCAGGCGAAGCTGAGAAAAACTTTTTTCGACGTCAAGAAGGAACTCCAGGAAGCTTGTGAACCTTGTATGCACATGTACCTGCATATAGTTTTACAACGTACGGTAGGAACATGCTCTGCTTGGCAACACAGCTATTGGCTGCACTGAGGAAGAGGATGCAACCTCTTTGGGTTTGGACGAAGGCCCGGATTCCCCCGTTGAAGTTAGTAGACTTTTGAAGGTCTGTTCGAACACATTATTGGAGGAGAGGATGCACAAGTGCCACGACGAGCTCCTCCAGTGGAGACTGCCGGCGACACCCAAATGGACGAGGACCATTATTGACATATCGTGCTCAAACCCTCAACCCTCAACCCTTAACCCGAATCCGTGGATTTCACGCATTTGAGATCGGCACTTTCGCTTTCAATAGGTTTTCCCGAACAAATCCAAGCAATCCTGGCAGGAACGGCCCATGGATGCTATGGAGATGGAGCTGGAACGGCTCATAGATGAGGAGCTGGACTTGGAGAAAAAAGTTCTGGAGCAACGCCAAAAGGAGAAGCAGCTGGCTTCCATGGACGACATGTCTACGGAAGTGGGCGGAACGACGCTGCCGGAGCCAGAGGTCTCCCCGAAAACGGAGAGCGAGGTGGAGGCTCAGAAGTCTGAGCTGCTTCGCTTGCAGAAGGAAAGCGAGCGACTGGAACGCCTCGTGCAGGAGAAGAAGACAGAACTTCTTTTGCAAGACTACGAGCAGAGGGCTCGTGCAGAGCTCGAGCAGAAGACTCGTGCTGAAGCAGAGAGGGCTCGTCTGCAGGAGGAAGCACAGGCAGCTCGTGAGGACGCAGAGCAGAAGGCTCGTACGGCAGAGGCAGAGCAAAAGGCTCGTGCTGAAGCAGAGAGGGCTCGTCTGCAGGAGGAGGCGAAGCAAGCGGCTCGTGAGGACGCCGTGCGAAAGGCTTGGGAAGAAGGCGAGCGGTTGGCTCGCATGGCAGAGCAGAAGAAGGCTCAGGAGGAGGCGGAAAAGCAGGCTCGCGAGCTTGCAGAGCAGCAGGCTCGTGAGGCTCGCGAGAAAGCAGAGCAAGCGGCTCGAGAGGAAGCACAACGGGTGGCTCTGGAGGCAGAGGCTCTGGCTCGCGAGAAGGCAAAGCAGCAGACTCTGGAGGCAGAGCTACTGGCTGCTCGTGAGGAACTCGAGAGGAAGGTTCGTGACTTGGAGGAGCAGAAAGCTCGTGCAGACGCAGAGCAGAAGGCACGTGTGCAAGCAGAGCAGGCTCGCACAGAGGCAGAGCAGAAGGCACGGGTGCAAGCAGAGCAAGCTCGTGTTGAGGCAGAGCAGAAGGCACGGGTGCAAGCAGAGCAAGAACGGAAGGCCAGCCAGCACTTGGTCGACCGTGCTGCTCGCGAGGAGGCTTCGTTCCAAGCACAGGTTTCGGAAAAGAAGCTGCACACGTCCGTGGAGTTGGATCTGCTTCGCAAGCGGAACGAGGCCGAACGGAAGCTTATGGATGAGAAAGGTGAGACCTTGAGGTTGCTGGAAGAGCGAAAAATGAAGATCCAGCAGCTGAAGCTGGAGCTGGCTGGAGAAGCCTCGGCTTCCTCAGGCATCGGCGGGCCGCCGAGACCTTCGGCTTTGAAGCGGTCGAGTGCCTTCGTGGAAGACGAGCCCACACGACGTGTGAGCTTGAAGCTGGAGGAGGCCACGCCTGCCAAGCCGGCGACAGGTACAGAGTCACACAAGTCGGCTTCGCCGACCCCGAGTCGTGCACCCTCCGACGCCTCGTCCCAGAAGTCCGTTGGCATGCCGCTTAGCATGGCCAAGCAGACTGGCCGTGGCTGGGAATCCGTGCCCCGACAATTAAGA